TGGAAGACAAGGGCCTGGTACAAAAATGTTAAAGATTACTTAATGCAGGTTGCAACCCACAACACTTTTTTATTGTTCAAAAAAGGAACCACCCGAAAGGAAACTGACTTTTTTACAGTTCCAGCTCTAGATTATTTCGCTCCTATCGCCGGGCGGTGATGGGAGAGAGCAGAGTTGGGGCTACCCACTTTATTTTTAAAATCCTAATTTTTTTTGGTTACATTTACTGTTTCTTAAATTTTATTTTTTTACATTGGTCACTAAGGGGTTAAACATATGGATTCTCCTCCACCTGTCAATTACATCCTTAACATTAGACACTGGCACACAGGATCTAATACCATAGATTGATTGACAGGCTGTTCCCTTGCTCCCTGTCACTGTATTACTCACCTAGCAGGTGTTTCTTAAACTTGCTGGGGGAGTATGGGATGCACTGACCCCAATGTGATTGCACTAAAGCAAGCCTGTTAGTGTCAGCATGGGAGACTTTCCTTCTTGGCTTAGTGTACCAAAGCAGGGCCAATCACTCCACACATCCGCAGCCAATCACACTTAGACAACTTATCACAATCACACTCAGCCAAGCCCCACACACACATAATCCTACTCAGCCAACCAACTCACTCACACTCAGCCAAGCCCCACACACACATACACACGCAATCCTATTCAGCCAACCAACACAATCACACTTAGACAACTTATCACAATCACACTCAGCCAAGCCCCACACACACATAATCCTACTCAGCCAACCAACTCACTCACACTCAGCCAAGCCCCACACACACATACACACGCAATCCTATTCAGCCAACCAACACAATCACACTTAGCCAGCCACACACACACACACACACACACACAATCCTACTCAGCCAACCAACACAATCAAACTCAGCCACCACACACATCGCACTCAGGTATAATACTTAGGAGGAGCAATGATGGGAATGAGGAAAGCCGTTTTTTTTTTATTCTTGTACCACTAAAGCAATGCCGCTTTAGTCCAATATGTGCCTTAACTTGATATGTCAGCCTTTTATATAAACGCCATTCTTGTTTGTAAAAATGGCAGTAGAAAATGAAAGTGAATAACTATGAATTTCTTATCCTCTGTGCATTACGAGAGGCAGAGGGTAAGAACTTCATAGTTATTCACTAAAATAAATCCTGTCAATGTCCAGGGCTCTAGGCAGGGGCCCCAATCTGAAAATATTTTGTCTGCCAGGGAAAGTAAATAGTCATGACCGATAAGTAGGTTGGGCTTCTACTTTATTCCATGGACTAGTAGATTTTTAAAAAAATTTCACACTCCTGTTCTTGTACTCTCTTTTATTACACTCATCCCTCTTTCATAATATAACAGTCCCTTCTTGGAAATCACTCCAAAAACCATAATTGTTCCTGGAAACTGAAACACCAACCGTATGATTTTAGTAACATCGTTTAGACTTCCCTTTAAACTACAATTGTGTGTATGTCCATGTCTGTAAATGATCCATGCGCTTGTAATTGGCTGCAAATGACCATTCGTACCTATAGCTATTTCTGTAAATAATTCATTTAATATACACTTGGAAACAATGGCAACAGATACTAGCCCTTGGAGTTCCACCTGCCAGTATAGCACACAGTAATATACTCGCACCTTCCTCTTCCTTGTCATGCAGCTCTGTAGACCTTTTGTGTGTGCACCCAACCTGAGGCTGTCCAGAGTAGTAGCTGCTTTTTCCCTCTGGCCATGAGGGACAACAATAAAACCGTTCTCCCCACTGAATTAGTTACCTTGAAAGAGAAGCAGGGTAGGTAGGATGTTACATGGAAAGGGTAAACGTAAGGTAGGAAGTTTTTAGGAAAGAGGCAGTGGGAACCGACATGATGTAGGAGAGCTAAAACATAGAACACGGGCTGACTATGCCCATTTTAAAAACAGGCTGTATGGTTAACTCTCATTGGGGGAGTAAAATGGAGGAGATCTTAACAGAGACAGCACGAGTTATACAATAAAGGAAACAAAGAGAAAAACCAGGGAAAGAAAGATGACATGAAGAGAGTTTGTATATAAAAAGATAGATAGCACGGAAAGAGACATGAAAACAGAGTTAACATGGACTAGGCAGTGGGAGTTGTTATGGAAGGACAAGGGACCAAATAGAAAAAAAAACAGGGGGAACATGCACACACGTTACAAACTTAATTCACAAACATTTGAGTTTATGCACAAATACACCCTTGTACACACGCACACACAACTTTTCTTTCACTCAAATACACTCTAGCAGTCACACCAGTGGTGTATCCTGGTTTTGTGCTGCCCTAGGCCCCTCATGACGTCATATTCCGGCTCCCAGCCTCACTCTGCGGGCGGCGCGCGAGGGAGCTGAGCAGACAGCTCAGAGGAAGTGCTCCCTCGCCAGCCGTCCGCACAGCAGCCAGCGCCGCCCGCCCGACCGGCATGTCTGTTAGCCGCAAGGCTAACTAGGCATTTGCCCTGGGCATTTGGGGGCGGCGTTTTTTGCCGCCCCCTGAAAAATGCCGCCCAAGGCAAATGCCTAGTTAGCCTCGCGGCTAATACGTCCCTGAGTCACACGCAATGCAAATCACCCCTTCACATCAGGTGTTAATTTACTTTATTAGTTTTTATCTAATGCTCTGTAAATTGACCGCTAATCACACACATGAGGCTCCAGCAAGGTCTAGCAAGCTATTAACAGAGCAGATGATAATAAATTCTAAATTAAACAGAATATGCAATAATGGACATGTAAACGTTAGTCTTCACTTTACAGGTATTGTTTAGGAAGGCTGTGCATGTTACATGCCGGGATGTGTGACTAGTTCTGTATGAACAAAGTGGCTTAACTACTAAATGACAAAGAATTGTGCAGTTAGAGTGACGAGTGATCTGTATACCAAAACTGCTTCATTAAGCTAAAGTTGTTTTGGTGACTATAATATACCTTTTAAGGAGACAAATCAGACACTCCAGACTCAGAATAAACCAGGTCTATGAGATTTGTAGGATCCCAGAGGAAGGCATTATTAATCATTTGTGTCAGAATACTGTGGGAGTCTTAAAGGGACACTATAGTCACCAGAACAGCTACAGCTTAATGTAGTTGTTCTGGTGAGTATAATATCTCCCTTCAGGTATTTTCATGTAAACACTGCCTTTTCAGAGAAAATTGGCTCAAAATCGCCCATTTTGATGATATCACAAAGGGGGAAGAGCCAGCGCCGGGGGACCCGCGCGGCACTGGAAATAAGGTGTGTTTTATATTTTTATAAGTGGGCTAAGGAGGGGCAAGCCACCTAAATGGTGGGTTTAGCATTATAGGGTCAGGAATACATGTTTGTGGGTTCCTGACCCTATAGTGATCCTTTAACTGTAACTTGAAGTTACCAATTTCTTGAAGGAGCTTGCATCATATAAATTAGGTTCACAGCTGTTGGCTGGCTTAGTATCCTGTGTGCCAGAATCCACAGAAGATTCCAAAGCCAACAGATGCAACATGTACAGTACCAATTTCGGGTATATTCAGATGTGCCATTAAAGCTTATTATATATCCATATATAAACCACCCTATCCTTGGTGCATACAAATATATATACAGATGCACCTTTCTCTGTCATATACAGATATATCCACAGGTAGTGTGACTTCTTTTTATGTTTCTTTCCACAACATTTCTTTACACACCCTATGCAAGTCAATGGAAGATGTTATCAGATTTCTAGAAATAAGCTGTGGAAGGCGTTAGAGAGACCTAAGATACACATCTAGAGATGGATGGATAACTTACTTCCTCTCTAGCACGATGTAGTAATGCATTAGGCAGCATGTGGATAGGCTTTTAAGCCAGAAAAAAAGTTTTCAAACGGGGATAGATTTTTTTTCTTCTCATTGCATTGCATGCTTAATATCCCACTGCAAACCGGTTTTTGAGATACACTGCCCTAATTGAAAATGGGGAGTTGCCAGTTTATGGCTCAGAGGACAAAAAGAAAAGGCTGTACTATACTAGGTAATTCAATACGCTCTGAAATCTGTTCTAGACCAGGAACCTCCATAGATGTGTGGTCAGCTTCACTGGAGCACTTAAAACAAAGTAACCCATCCGTGCCAGTTCTGGGACACAGCGTATACAGAGACAGATAAAAAGCAAACAAGAACAAACATTTTTTTGGATAACATTTTGGTTGGTAATTGTGTAAAAAAATAAAATAAAAAAAAATAATAGAAAAATAAATAATAAAATAAATAAATATATATATATTTTAATACACACAGAATCCTATGCTGTAGCTCGACTGGGCAACTGACCATCATTGTTTGTCTGCTGGTAGAATATTCAGGGTTATTCACTAAACTGAGAACTTGTAAAGTGAATGCAAAGTGAATTTCAAATTTAAGAAGTCAGCCGTGCTTTCAGTTCGGCTACTCTTAAATTTCAAAAACACTTTAAAAAACAATACTCTAAAGTGTCAATTGTTGGAAATACAGCATTAATTCATAAGGAATTTCAAATGTTTATAATAACTAAAATGAAATCATAAATGACTTGGACCAATACAGCTATTTTAGCTGAACATTTAGAATTCACCTTGAATTCATGACAATTAACACTTTATTGAATAAGCATGCATATTTTCTCAACCCTGTACGTGACATATACTAGATAACATTGTATATCAGCCTAGTGTATTCAATTTAATGTAAAAATTAAATTATCACAAAAACAAATACCCTCCTTACTGTCAGGCTGATTTGGGGTGTATGTTTTTTTTTAAAATAAATTTTCATTGCTTCTGAAATGACCTCATGTAGTACATAATGGCCTGTTCTGTAACTTTAAGAAGGTACCATACCTACTTTTTAAAGAAAAACATAGTAAAATCTTACCAGTTAAATGTTGCCGGATGCACACCTTGTGTGACTATCAACGTGTTTCTACAACATTTTCCACAAATATGTTCAAGAATACAATAGCACTTGACTTTAAAATTTTCTTTATTAAAAAAAATGTATTTTCCCAGTTAGGATTCACAATCACACAAATGTCATTACGCCATGGAATTTTAAAACATTTAGATATTGTTACAACTTACATGACCCTACTAGGTAAAACCTAATTTTAGCCCACATCAGTGTTTGTAGCAGTGAAGCTTATAAAAAACAAAACAATGTCATCGTGTCCAATCTATATTTTATCCAATATATCCTGGACTTGTCTTTTTATAAACTGACTGATTAAATTTTGTGGCAATTCTGCGTAGTCTTATAAAAAAATAAATATGCTCATAGCCATCCTTATCCCATAAATTCATACAATATGTACATTTCTTAAACCATTTCTATTAATCCAGAATTGTATGTCTTAAAGAGTTTTTCATTAAACCATGAATGATGTGAAATTGACCAGGGGTACAATGATTTTTTACTCGTCTTCGGCTATTTAGGCAAAATGTTTACGTTCCCAGCCTGGAATTTTGAGTAATGGCTGGACATGATTTATAAAGCAGAGTACGTAATTAGATTTTTAGAATAAGGTAATATGATGTATGACTAGGCTGTTTTTGAATGCATGGGAATACATAAAAATTATTCTCCATTCTTGATTATATCAGCACGCAAAAATGTGTTCGTCGAATACCCCTCCGTGGCGAATGCCTCCTTTCAAACATAGATTATCCTCTGTTTCAAGATAAATGTGTCTGCAAAAGCATTATACTTACATCCCTTGTGGATTAAAATAGAGTAACATCACAAGTAAACCAGATTTTTCCATTAAAAATCTTATTTATTTTATCATATTAAAAAATGCACAAATAACAAAAATCCTGAAACAAGTAAAATATATAAAACAAAAGCAAAACACCTGGACAGTCAGGTGTGTATTCATCTTCTAAACAGGAAATTGCAGTAGGTTCATGAAGGGATTATAGGCTACAATTTCTGAATTAAAATTAATCTCTGGTTATTTTTCCAGTTCGACTAGTTGAGACTGAAATTTGCGTTCCCCTTGCCAATTTACTAAAATTCTTGGCATTATGACTAAATCTCACATCCTTGTTTTACAAGTCACAATCCGTCCCAAATTACCAAGATGATAATCTAGACGATAAAGAATCATGTGGTCCACAAAGTTCCTGTAATAAAATGAATTAAAATAATGCAATGTCTTTAAATTAGAAACCACTTAATTATTTTCAGTTATGTTCACGAAAAAATGCAGATAGGATACATAGAGAAAATGACTTTTTGATCTCTTATGATGATGGCAAATGGCAAATATGGCCGAAAGCAGTAATTGGGGTTTAACGTGAGATCTATGGAATAAAGAAAGCTGAATAGTAACAGAAATCCCTTTCAAAATAATGCAATTTCATCAGCTCCTATTTTAAATCTTTAATGGAATTTTCTGACAACAAACGTCTGTTCCTTGTACTCCAGGGAACAAATGGCCTATTATGTATTTTTTCTCAAAACTAGTGTAGCTCATTGGTCTGTCATTCACTATTACGGCCTATAATTTTTTTCCATTTTTTTTTAAAGATGTATAAAATATATATATATATTAGTCTTGCAGTGCTCAGTTCTTCTTCTGGGAATTGGCAATTCCATTAACAGTCCTGGCACATCGTCTGTCATGAAGGGGTTAATAAGCATATTCCCCTCCCCCACCTAAGCCCTTAATTGACCTTGGCTACCTGTAGGTTATTCTAGCAGTGACTGGGTTAAAGGCATTAAACTTTACTGAGCTAGGATCCAGTTGTTTTGTTCTAGCCAGGCTGAGCAGAAGTGTTTCACAAGCTCATTTAAAAAAAGGAGAGAATTGTGAAGCCTGTTACATATTAACAGTAAAACCGTTAACACACCACGTTCAGCCTCTAAATAACTTTCAAACCATTGAGATTACAAAGAAGTATTGTGGGTGGGGGGGAAGAGTGTACAAATATAGGAAAAGTGAGAGGAGGGGGGCAGGGGTCAAAATTAGAAGGACAGTGAGAACACAAAGTCTGCGTTCAAAAGCCAGACAGACACACACCAATGGATAGGAAACAAAATCTAACTGGTCACATTCCAGACTGGCATGAAGGTCGGAGACAAAAAGACAAAACTCATTAAGTATATATATATATAAAAAACAGTATTGTACCTTCCTTTTACCAATAAAAATAACGCATCCTGTTATCGTTAAGTAAATTACATTTTTAAAAGTCTGACAAACAACTGTATATTCTCATTAATTTCCTGCATGTAACAGAATGCAATATTCTTATTAAAAAAAAAAAAGTATAGCACAAGCAGATAGGCAGATCTCACCTTGCACTATATAATGTATCAACAACATCGCTGTCCTGCCTAATGCATTTTAAATAACCGTCCCTAGTGAAAGGGGAATTATTTTCATGTACACATCCTTTGTTAGTCATTTCATCACTGTAGTTATTTGTTAGGCCTGATAGGTGGAACTAAACCATAGGAACATATTGTTCAAAGCAGTAGGTCTCTGAGGATTCAACGTTCCATATTAAAAACCTATTAAACATCACGTTACCTCGTATGGTTGAGTATGTTGAAATTCTATTTTTTTCTCTCTCCTTTTAATATACATTTTCCCATTAATAAAAACGAAAGTGGATTTTCATATTATATTTTTGCTTTGATAAAAATATAGTGCACTTTTTTTTTTAATATTTTACAGCTTTTAAGGTCAACCCTGGCACTGCAGGGGTTAATGAACTAAGGGTTTGCTGAGCATCATAAGAATTATAGTTCAGAAATATCTGCAGTGTCACAGTACGCTATTACTGTACAAGAAGATTCTCCCACCTAGTTCGAGAAATATTTAACAATGCAATATATAACAACGCTGTATACACTTTCTCCCTTGTATATGAGATATTTTCGTGATCTAACCTTTACCCTTTAGCTCTGGGAGAGGAAAACCTTTTGCTGAAGCCTTCCAATAACAAACATGAAAGTATCCTCTTAGATTAACCTTTGTGCTTTATCACAGGTATAGCATACATTTCTATGTACAGTAAGAAAGGCTTGCTTCCTTCCCAGCATAAAAAGGGTTACACTGTTTAAGCCACCTCATCTATGCCAACATTTGTCCCTCCCAGTTCAAACATATTTTACCATTGCCACGACACTGGAAAATCGCCATCTAATTTCCTATATATTCACATACACACAAACAAACGGTGCCATTAAAAAAGGGCAATGCTGACTAAAATACATATTATACGTACATATATATATAACACGTATAATCATTTACAATATCACGAGGATTATTTGTAAGTGTTAGGAGGTGATGTTTTCGGTTTTCATGATTATGCCGCAAGTCTCCTCCTGTCCGTGTTTTATGTAAGAGTTGTAAAGTTATTTAGTAAAGAAAGTCCACTTTCTTTTAAACATAGTCTTTTCGGTCGTAGCCAGGATTCGTAGAGCGGGCAGCAGAATATGCCACTCGTGATGCAGGGTATTTCTCTTGTTTGGGTGGGCAAGAACAGCATAACATGGCACCTCCAAGCATGAGGAGAGCCGAGGCTGCCCAACCTATATACATGGAGGCTCCAAGCTCTCTCTTCATAGAGTCCACCACCAATGGGTTGTAGAAGTCACGAATGACGGTATTAGCAGACCAAGACACAGGGATGAGGGTCATCAGCCCGGCAAGGATGAAAATAACCCCAGACACAATCATGATCTTCGCCTTCGTTGCCTCATCCTGGACACAGTTGGTGCACTTGGCTCCGATAATGGAGATGAGGACTCCAAGCACAGCTATGACAATCGAGATGACAATGAGAGCACGCGCTGCCTGTAGATCCTGAGCAAGAGCAAGCAGGGAGTCATATACTTTGCACTGCATCTGCCCCGTGCTCTGCACCACACAGTTCATCCATAGACCTTCCCAGATGATCTGAGCCACCACAATGTTGTTACCGATAAACGCAGTTACTCTCCACATTGGAAGAGCGCAGCAAACAATGGCACCCAGCCATCCGATAATGGACAGGGCTACACCCAGGATCTCAAGTCCCATAGACATGTTGGCAACTAAATGTGGTTTATGAGTTGTAAAATAAGTAGTATAATTCTTTGGTGGTATCAGAGGACTTCGAACAGCACCCTTCTTTGGAAGTTCCTCTTTTCTAAGCAATGTTTCCTTTAGAGAGAAGAATCCCTTTCTTCCTTTGGTGTGAGCTGCCTCTACTTTCTTCTTTAAAATTCACTGTCTTTCTCTTATTTCTTGTCCACTCCACAGTACCTATTGGCTCTCTGAACAGAATATCTTTGCCTGGATGACTGCCCAGGTTAGGGAGTATATAATATCCTTCTTCTAATAGGTAGGCGGTCCTTTTATACCTCCAAGCCGGCTATGTTTAACAGGTGTGTAACGGATCCTCAAACTTGTCCTTTATAGCTGAATCAGGTGCAGCTGATGTCACAGCAAATGAAGGGAGGAGTGTTACTTAAAGCAACAGTGACATAGCTAATATACGTGTGTACTGGTGAAAAGCTCTTGATGAAAGACCAAGATAAATATATTAACTCGTCTCTCTTGTTTATAAATGAGAATATAAAACCTGTTTCTCATGGCAAAAACAAACAAACAACAAAACAAGGAAGCTTAAGAAAATGTATTTAAATTATTAGTTACTCAACAAGATACTTTACTGTGAAATGTATTTAAGGAAACGGTACTGTGTAAAAACCAGTACTATGCAAAGATAATATATCTGACAATACAGATTAGAAGAGAGAAAAAAATCTCAGTATTGTGCTGCCATGAGAAAAAAAAACATTTTAAATCACATCAATCCCCACTAAAAACGACTGAAATGATCAAATAAATCTATTTTGTCTAAACTGACCCCAGTCCATTAAGCACACAAGAATGTTTATATTGTCTAAAGCAGCAATTGTGAAGAAATGAGAAGGGAATGTAAAATGTGTTAAATGTAGCTGAATTAGAAAGATTCTGCAATTCAGCTATTTCATGCTTTGAGATTCTGTTGTCAGTACTTCAAAATTCGTGATTTAGTAAAAAAAAAAAAAAAAAAATGCTCACTGATTTAAAAATGCTCACAGAATTAAGCGGATTTATTTTTATACCAGAATTATGCTGAATATTTGTGTGACAAACTAAAATGTGACATTCCATCATGTGACAATATTCTGTATAAATAGTGGAATCATTTTAAATAAGTTTATTATTTTATTAATACAGAGGATGTGTCGGAGTATCTCCGCCAAGTATTCCCTCTACTCTGGAACAAATCAGCTGGAGTGATTACAGTTCAGTTCACAAACATCAGCCGAGGCACGATCAGGGCCGGACTGGCCCACCGGGATACCGGGAAATTTCCCGGCGGGCCGTCGGCACCTGGGGCCGGGCAGGCAGCTGGCTCTTCTGGCGGCCGCAGAGGGAGCTCTTTTGGCGGCCACAGGGGGAGCTGGGTGTTCTGTCTCTGCTCCCCCTCCCCAGCGCACTGCTTAATGAGACCGGGGCCGGAATATGATGTCATATTCCGGCCCTGGTCTCATTAAGCAGTGCGAGGGCGGGGGAGCAGAGACAGAACAGCCAGCTTCCCCTGCAGCCGCCAAAAGAGCTCCCTCTGCAGCTGCCAGAAGAGCCAGCTCCCCCCATGCGGCCGCCATCAGAGCTCCTCATGCCAGCACACAGGTAGCAATTATGTGTGTCAGTGTGAGTGTATGTGTGTGTGTGTCTGTGTCATTTGTGTGTGTGTCTGTCTGTGTCATGGTGTGTGTGTGTGTGTGTGTGTCTCTCTGTGTCATGGTGTGTGTGTCTGTGTCATGGTGTGTGTGTGTCATTGTGTGTGTCTGTCTGTGTCATGGTGTGTGTGTGTGTCTCTGTCGTGGTGTGTGCGTCTGCGTCATAGTGTGAGTGTGTGTCTCTGTCTGTCATGGTGTGTGCCTCTCTGTGTCATGGTGTGTGTGTCTCTGTCTGTCATGGTGTGTGCCTCTCTGTCTGTCATGGTGTGTGCGTCTGTCTGTGTCATGCAATGTTTGTCTGTGTGATTGTGTGCGTGTGTCTGTCATGTAATGTGTGTCTGTCTGTGTCATGGTGTGTGTGTGTCTGTCTGTCATGGTGTGTGTATGTCTTTCTGTGTCATGTAATGTGTGTCTGTCTGTGTCACGGTGTGTGTGTGTCTGTGTCACGGTCTCTTTGTGTCGTGGTGTGTGTGTGTATGTGTGTCATGGTGTGTGTGTCTGTGTCATGTAATGTGTGTCTGTGTCACAGTCTGTCTGTGTTATGGTTTGTGTGTGTGTCAAGGTGTGTGTCTGTCATGGTATGTGTGTGTGTCTCTGTCATGGTGTGTGTGTGTCTGTCTGTGTCATGGTGTGTCTTTCTGTCATGGTATGTTTGTGTTTCTGTCTGTGTCACGGTGTGTGTGTGTCTGTGTCACGGTCTGTCTGTGTCATGGTGTGTGTCTGTCATGGTATGTGTGTGTGTGTATGTGTGTTTTTACTCACCTTTTTTTCCCCCCCACGTCGTGTTGGTCTCCCCTCGACTGGCCCTGCCTCTACGGCTGAGATCATCAAGCTTGATGATCTCAGCCAATCTGCACTTACACAGGAAGCACCTCTAGTGACCGTCTGAGTGTCTGTCACTAGGAAGCAATGTAAACACTGCCTTTTCTCTAAAAAGTCAGTGTTTACATTGAAAAGCCTGCAGGGACAGGCTATAGACACCAGAGCCACTACATTAAGCTGTGTGTGTGTGCGCGCCTGCTAGTGAGTGGCTTGCTTGTGTGTGTGTGCCTGCTACTGAGTGAGCTTGTGTTTTTATGTCAATGACCTTATGTATATCAGTGAGATTGTTTGTATATGAGGCTGTGTATCTGTCTGTGTTGTGTCAGTGAGATTGTCTGTGTCTGCATGTGAGTATGCTTACTGTATAATTAAAAATTTTACTCTGAAAGGACCAATATTTTCTATTGGAAAAAGCAATATATATGTATATATATATATATATAATCATCTAGGGTGGCAAGACATAGCCTTACATATTACATACGACAATATATGGCGCAATGACTTATGGGGCTGGCATAGATTTTTTTCCAGGGCTGCTTTGGAATCCCCAGTCTGGCCCTGGGCACGATGAAGGGTAAAACAGACACACTGTATTCAAAACCTCAGACATATTTATACAGGTATTCTCAACAGGGGGTCATAAAACCAAAGATCACAATCCCACCCGGGCGCCCTGGTGTCTCGGACATAACTCAATCAAAGGCATCATAATTTAATCAACTACTGGACCCCTAAATGTCTTACAACAATATCCCCAAAACAGAGAATTCGTTATAAGTTATCACCAAGAGCTATACATCCCCGGAGGGCACTGGTTTAGAGGTGCAAACTCTGGGAGGTGTCTAGCCCGAGAAATCACCAGTTGAAGTTTGGCCGGGCCGCAACCATCTTCCAATCTGACGCAGAGTTCCAGACTGTTTGGTAACAAGTCCCGATCTCAAATAATGGCTTCCAGGAGCTCTACGGAATGCACTCTCTCAGGTCCATGCGTTGAGACCTCCCTGACCTCCCTTCTAAATAGTGCTGAGGTTGGTGGTACTGGGATTGATCGATACCAACTTGAAGTTTCACAAGATTGTGGCATCCTTCCTATCCTATGTACAGTTCCATTTTATTTCTGAGTATTTGTGTGTGTTCTGAAAGTCTGTGGGGGTCTAGCTGGGCCAAATACTAGGTTCGCTAATGTCCTGTAAAGTCCTAGCACAGCATGGAGGGGCAAACATGGTGATAAAAACTTTCTTGTGGAGGATTTGGACATAGGAGTCCAGCGCCAGTTGTTAAAGTGACCTGGTCAATCCTTCACAGAGGATTAAAAAAGGGGGACAAAACTTTTTTTAGATACATAAATGTGAAAAGTAAAGTAATACAAGGATTAGTTAGATTAAAAACAAAAGAAGGAAGGTAAGTAGAAGAGGATAAAGGTCTAGCTGACTGCCTCAATGAATATTTTTGTTCTGTATTTACAGATGAAAATGAAGGAAAGGGACCTCAGTTGAGAAAAAGGATAAATGAGTCATTTATTACATGTGAGTTTACAGAGGAAGAGGTTCTATTTCAACTGTCAAAAGTAAAGACAAATAAGTCAATGGGACCTGATAGAATACACCCAAAGCTGTTAAAAGAGCTTAGTGGTGTACTAGCAAAACCATTAACAGATTTATTTAACCAATCATTGTTAACAGGAGTAGTCCCAGAAGATTGGAAGTTAGCGAATGTTGTGCCCATTTACAAGAAAGGTAATAGGGAGGAGTCGGGCAACTATAGGCCAGTAAGCCTTACTTCAGTAGTGGGGAAAGTGATGGAAACCATGTTAAAGGATAGGATTTGAACATCTAAAAACACATGGATTTCAAGATCAGAGACAACATGGGTTTACTTCAGGGAGATCATGCCAAACTAATCTTATTGATTTTTTTGATTGGGTAACTAAAATTATAGATCAGGGTGGTGCAGTAGACATTGCTTACCTAGATTTCAGTAAGGCTTTTGACACTGTTGCACATAGAAGGCTTATCAATAAACTGCAATCTTTAAGTTTGGATTCCAATATTGTTGAATGGGTAAGGCAGTGGCTGAGTGACAGGCAACAGAGGGTTGTAGTTAATGGAATATATTTGAAGCTTGGACTTGTCACCAATGGGGTACCTCAGGGATCTGTACTTGGACCCATTCACTTTAATATTTTTATTAGTGATATTGCAGAAGGTCTTGATTGTAAGGTATGTCTTTTTGCTGAAGATACTAAGATATGTAACAGGATTGATGTTCCATGAGGGATAAGCCAAATGGCAAATGATATAGGTAAACTAAGAAAATGGCCAGAATTGTGGCAACTGACATTTAAAGGAACACTATAGTCACCTAAATTACTTTAGCTAAATAAAACAGTTTTAGTGTATAGATCATTCTCCTGCAATTTCACTGCTCAATTCACTGTCATTTAGGAGTTTTATCACTTTGTTTCTGTTTATGCAGCTCTAGCCACACCTCCCCTGGCTATGATTGACAGAGCCTGCATGAAAAAAAACTGGTTTCACTTTCAAACAGATGTAATTTACCTTAAATAATTGTATCTCAATCTCTAAATTGAACTTTAATCACATACAGGAGGCTCTTGCAGGGTGTAGCAAGCTATTAACATGGCAGGGGATAAGACAATCTTAATTAAACAGAACTTGCAATAAAGAAAGCCTAAATAGGGCTCTCTTTACAGGAAGTGTTTATGGAAGGCTGTGCAAGTCACATGCAGGGAGGTGTGACTAGGGTTCATAAGCAAAGAGATTTAACTCCTAAATGACAGAGGATTGAGCAGTGAGGCTGCAGGGGCATGTTCTATACACCAAAACTGCTTCATTAAGCTAAAGTTGTTCAGGTGACTATAGTGTCCCT